TCTCTGCGCCTCTGGTCTTGGGTTTGCTTTCTCTGCTGAATAGTTACGCGTTTTTCTTTTTTCCCCCCTCCCCTATGTTCGGGTGCCTCACAAAATACACCGTTTCTCTCGTTCTGTCCCGTGACAGTTCCTCTCCTGAGCTTTACGGCACCTGCGGTTACTGCGATTCGTAGCAGACGGGCCCCGCGCGTGTGTCCGTCACAGCTCTGCCTAACGGGCTCCCTAACCCCCGGGGTACTGGACTCGCCAAAACAGCTACGAATACGGCAAAGCCGTGGGCGGGGGGAAGAAGGCAGGAGAACCAACAACGTTGCACAAAAGTTGCCAAGTTTTCGGTCAACTTCAGACTTTCTCTGTGGCTGCGTGGTGGGAGCGACCGCAGTGCCTTTACGGTCCGTGTGGGCAGGCTAGAAATCCCGCTCAAAACTAAGGTGACTCTTCAGAGGAGGAGGTTTGTATATGACTGAGTGTAAAACCGGGCCTTTTTGGCGTTAGGTGGGTGGATACCTGTTGACTTTCACTTCTGCTGGAGCCTGGAGGTGGAAACAGCCCTGGTGCAGCTTCCCGGCGGCTGTTGGTAGCTCAGGGTCCCTGCAAGCAGGCGGGCATCGTTTCTGGTCTCTCTTGCGATGACTTTGTGCCTGCTGTTTGTCCTTTTGCTGGTTCTTAAGGTATTAAGTGCTCTATCCCCAGTTCAGCATGGGCAGATAATAGCGTTAAGCTTTTAATGTGAGTGTAAAGTAGGTTAGGAGCAGTGGGAAACGTGATGTTATCCAAAGGTAGGTGAAACGGGCAAAAAAAATACATCGGTGCCCCTGAGGCAGTAACCGAATTTCCCAGTGCTGTTCCGTACGTGCTCTGTGTTTTAAATTTTTTTTTGTTCTGGCTTTAAGAAACATCATTTATTGTTTTGATGCAAGTTGGAAGATTGTTTTTTAACTGTTGTTTCTTTTTGTTTACGTTCTTTTAAAAAGACTCAGATTTACAGATCTGTCAACACAGAGCGCCAACATGTTGCACCAAAAAAATGGAAGAGAGCTACCAGGCAGCGGTTCGGAGGGAGAGGGCGCAGAGTATCCAGGCGCTGAACTTCGAGCTGAAGTACATGATTGTTGGTCATATCACAGCTTTTCAAGGTAGGAACTTTTGATTTATAAAAGTATCCCATATAAAAAATGGGAAGATTATTTCCTTTGTGGGTCGGTCTTTCATTTCTGTTGCATCGCATGCTGTAGTTACTGGTTTGTGGTTTACTTCCCTCTCTTCAGCATCCTGCTTTCAGAAGAGGGTGAGGGGACTTAATCTCGGCTGGTATTTTAAGCATCTGCCTAAATCTAATTAGGAGTAGATTTAAGCTTGAAGCTGGTTCCTGGGATCATTTTTAAAAAGATCGGTGTGGATTTTTCAAGGCATTTAAAAATGTTATTTAAGTGCCTAATGGTTGGTTGTGCCTTTTGGAACTCGCTTGTTTTGTCAAAGGAGTTACAGGTGTAAAAAGTTAAATTAAAATGCACTGGTTGGTTGATGCTGAGGAATGGGAGCTCTGACTGATAGCTCTAAAATGAGAACACAGCTTGCTCTCTGTGTTAAAATGTTTCCCTAGGTGTTAGGTCACAGGACGACTGGTTCATTTTGAAGAAATGTGGCTGTGCAGTTTAATGTGAATGCAGGAAGGAATCTGCACTTGGTCTCCTCTCAAAGCTGCTTGCTCTAACTGGCTGATACAGGTCCACATAGTTTCTTCATATAGAGGGCTACTGGAGACTTTTCTCCAGAAAGGCATTAAAGCATAGGCTGTGAACTTTTAATCAATCAACTCTCATATTTTTAATCAATCACTGACTGATGAATCAAGTGTTGGGGTCTAAATGATTAAACCTGTGGGTACAAGGCAGTTCTTTTTTAAACCCAAAAGTAACTTTTTGTCTAGCTTCATCCATTGAAGTGAAAAAATTCTTTAATATAAAAGTGATTGAGAGTAAATAAAAGATAGCATATTGTCTAAAATTTGACAGTAAGAAATGCTGGAAGTTTGAAAGACGTGTGGAAAATGCAAGTCATTTTCTTCTGCTTTTGGTCGTTCACCTCTGTTTCCTCCTTTGTATACCTATGGGTAAGAAACGACATTTTGGTGTATTTTGCAATTAATCTTGGAAGATATGTCAGTATCCCACATGGTTTTGAAATTTGGTTGCAAGGCACTCTGGAGGAGTGCTGTAGTAAAAGGGTGACTCTGTTGGCATTGTTAAAGGCTGGTGAGTTATTCGAGCAATCTTTCAGTATCATGATAGAATAAAGATAAGGTCAGAATAGATTAACCTACCAGCCCCTCTGGGTCAAGCCAGCGGCGCTATTGTGCATATTGCTGATGAAGCCCTTTGAAAAGAAAGAAACAGACGTTTCACACAGTTTAAATTTACAGGCGTTTTCTAGAAGTGGGTAAACAGGTTATTTGCTGTAACTTGCTGTGCCTGGCCTGCTGTCTGTGCTAGGTGGGAACACTTGAAAATGTAACTTTGCTCTCTTGTGCTGAGAGCTGCTTTTGTCCCGGGTGTCAGTGAAAAGCCTCTCTCTGTCTTGTGCTCTATAAATGTTCTGTTGCGAAGAGTAGTGTTATGTGCGACGTTTACTGGGAGGGAGGATCTCCGCATGGAATTAGCTCCGGCCTTTTGGTCTATTTTGGTTTGTTGCTATTTTGCATGATAAAGTGTGAGAGCTAAAAGAAGATTTAAAGTCTCAAAAAAAAAAAAAACACTGCTTATTTTAGAGGCTTTCAGGTGCTTTTCAGATGTCATGTTTCTAGTAGCAATAGGAAGGAGCTCAGACTTGCTAAAAAGTTGTAATTTATTCATTTGTCTGGTGTTTACTGAAGTTTTCAAGCACAATTTACTTGTGCCTCTGTGTGTGTGTATATGTATATTTTAAGTGCTGCTAGAGAGAAAAGCAGTAGTTAGCTTTGCAGCCTACTGCTGAGGAAAATCTTAACTGCTTTTTATGCACATGTAGAAGACAATGCCATTAATATTATACCCCTACTGACTAAATCATTTTCAAGGCTAGTGTGATGCAAAAATTGGATTTTCAGTGGTCCAGCATTGGACATAGTGGCGGGACTTGAATTTCAGTGTCAAAAGAGCAACATTTTTTAGAGGGCGTAATTTCTTTGGAGTTCACCTTCTATCATGAGTTATTGATGTTGAAGTTATAAATGTTTTTTAGACAGCATTATCTTATATTTTCTCTCATGGAAATCAAATGACACTTGCTTCTGAGGGCCTGCTATTAAATACTGCAAGTATTAATGGGAAAGAGCTTCCTGATGTGAGTAGGAGTTATGATAAGGGTTTGGTTAAATATTCCCTGTGTGCTGCCTGGGTACTGTGGTCAGCTGTGTAAGTTTGGGACAGAAGAGATTGTTTCTCTTATTTTCAATTAAAAAGGAAAATTAAGTAGTTCTGCCCACAGCTGAAATAAGACAATCTTCACAGGTGCAAAATAATGAGTCTGTAAGACTCAAATAGCCCACAGCTGTGGGCAGACATGTGGGCCAGTGCCTGTTTCATACATATGGACAGCCTTAGCACTGCAGTTCGATCCGGCTGTTTTACCTCCTTTTGATTTTTTTTCAAAATTGGCAAACCGGCGCTGGCTCAAACACATCATAAATCAAACTTCTGCGTGGGGTGTTTTAGCTCGAACTGTCAGTGATGCTGTTGCTGTGATACCCGATTTCAGC